ACTAGTGGACACAAAAATCGGATACAAAATTGGGAAGAATAAAAGAAAGAAGAAAGAAAGGAAAAAAAAGAAAGAAAAGAAAGATCAATTGTTTTATTTATGATCCGTTTACTTCTCCTTTCATCCTATATGCTCATAATATATAATGGACTACTGTATCTCATTTGATTAACAAGAAAAATTGGTAGTGAATTTAAATATAACATTGAATATGAGGGGCGTATTGAAATGAAATAAGTCTATATTCAACTACCTCCAAAAAAAATATTGATTAACAAAATAACTTGACGTCATTATTTTTGTACTCTGAAAAATGATCGAGAAGATAAAAATAGCGATTCTATATTTCGTAAAATTAAAGGAGAACATTCTAGATTGAAAAACTTGATTGGTAATCGAACTTATGATTATTTTCTTTTTTTGTTTCTTAAACACTTCATAAATAAATGAACAAAGGATAACAAATATTAAATTGTGTTGATAGAAGAACGATTTATTGTCTTAAGTTTCATGCATGTATAATGACAAAGCGAAAAGATTGCGCATGTTAATATTAAACTACGATCTTTTATGTATCACCTCCGCAAATTCCGCCTCTCCTTTTTCCTCCAAATAAAAAAAAATATCTTAATATAATCGAAGTAATATTCATATGATTGAATTACTCTGTATATTATTCATGATACTAAGATATAAAGTCAATAAAAATTCAAGATCTGAAAACGTGTGAAATTTGAATAAATGTGTTTAGCAAAAGAATGATTTACGATGAGTCAGAATTTGCGTACATACTTTTAGTATCGTAAAAATAAAGTTCGTAATAACAAAAGCTGTAATATGGTTTCTATCAAATTTATTCATAATTACTAATTCTCAATTTGTTAACAATTGTAATGGTCTTATATTAAGACAGTAGAAAATAATGCAATTTTCCATATTTGTGCGTTTAATTGATATAAAAAATTCGCGATTAATTACACATCTTTCTCAAAATGAATGACAAATTGTAATAGATTTTATATATATACATACCTAAATAGGTTTATTGCTTTCGATGTGTAGAAAATTTTCTTTATTTGATTACTGTCCTGATATCTTAGAAAAATATTTATTATGGATTTGCATATTTTTTTTTCGGTATTCTCTGTTCGAAAGAATATACTTATCATTAGTAAATAATATTTTCTTCCAATCAGTGTAATAATTCAAAATCACATTGTCAATTCAACTTTAAATCATCAGAACACTAGGTATGTCCATTTTTATCATTACACGATTTCTACACTTTTCTATAGTCAGATGTATTTTCGTAATATTATACTTGTCAATGATATTCAATATTAAAATCATGGAGAACGTCATTTTTGTAATATTTTTATAATCATACTCTAATGAATGATATTAGATATCGTATCCTGATGTAACAATTTTAGTCAGACCCTGACACATGTGATTAATTTTGATACTAAAACAAATATCTAAGAATGACTTAGATAAATTACTCATTAGTATTGACTTTGAGATGTCGACACATACCAGTAACTGGATTCTATAATGAAACTGTTGGTTGGCTTTTGTAAAAATTTTAATAGTGCTATATTTATGTCATGGAAAATTAATGTGTTATATGACTTTATATTTATATAATTAAATTAATAGGTGAAAATATTTTAATGATATTAAACATATCAATCAATATTTTTTTCTTCTTTCTACAATTTACAGAAAATCTTGGATAGTATTTTACTTCGAATAGTTTTTTTTTGTTATCATATCAGTCAGATAAACTGTTATCGTACTTCAAATAACAGAAAGAAAAAAAAGTACAAGTCTGTAAAAGATAATGTAAAGGCGTAATAGAGAAGAAATGTGCACGTTCTTTTCTTATTTTTTTCTTATTTATAACTTACTTTATAATCGCTGATACTATTTTGTTCTTTTAGATCAAAAGTATGACTAAGAATAAGTTATCTTCGAATGATAATTATACAACACCAGTAGCTGAACATCCATCATTAGAAGAAGTTTATGAAGCAACACCATTCTCCGAAGCATTTTGGACTTATGTCAACTATATTATTTTAAATATTTTTGGTTGGTTTCGTGATTTTCTTCGAAAAACACGAATTGAAAATCGAAAAGGTTCAGCGGAAAATAATCCACCAGTAAAATAAAATGAATAATTCATTGATTTTATTTATTTATATTTATATATTATCCTAGGGTTTTGTTCCATTGTATCAAAGTTATGAAAGTTTCTATACACGTAATGTTTATCAACGTATTGCTGATTGTTTCAATCGACCAATTGGTAGTGTACCTGGTGGTAAACTTGATCTTCTTGAACGTGTTACTGATGATTATAATTGGTCATTTAAGTAAGATTTTTACTTTTTTTGCTTTCTTGTTAAGTTTCATATTTAGATTTACTGGTGATAAAATTACAAAGATTAATCTTGGTTCATATAATTATCTTGGTTTTGCAAATAATAATGGTCAGATAGCAAATAATGTTATAAATTCGATAAAAACGAATGGTGTTGCAACAGCAAGTACAACACAAGAATTTGGTATGTATATTGAATTTTTGTTTTTTTTTTTCAAATTTAATTTTTTTTTTAGGAACGTTAATACAACATCGTAAACTTGAATCATTACTTGCGAGATTTCTTGGTACTGAAGATGCAGTTGCATTTGGTATGGGATTTGCAACAAATGCACTTAATATACCATCCATTGTTGGAAAGGTTATTTTCTAGAATAAAAAAAATATATACATAATCTTGTTTGTTAAAGGGCTGTCTGATATTGAGTGATGAACTTAATCATACATCGCTTGTACTTGGTTCTCGTCTATCTTGTGCTACCATTAAAGTTTATCGACACAATGGTTGAATTATTATCTGAATAATTTTGTTGTTTTGATATTTTTATTTATTAAATTTAGATATGGAACATTTGGAACGATTATTACGAGAAGCAATTGTATCCGGTCAATCACGAACACATCGACCATGGAGAAAAATTTTAATTATTGTCGAAGGAGTATATAGGTATGATATGAAAATATAAATGATCATATTTAATTATTTGAAATTCTAGTATGGAAGGTTCACTATGTAAATTACCGGAATTAATTGAACTTAAAAAGAAATATAAAGCATATCTATATTTGGATGAAGCACATTCAATTGGTGCAATGGGTTCGCATGGTCGTGGTGTTGTTGATTATTGGAAATGTGATGTTAATGATGTTGATATACTTATGGGAACATTTACAAAAAGTTTTGCTGCTGCTGGCGGATATATTGCTGGAAAAAAAGTATGATAGGATAAGATTTTTCCCTAGAAAATTTACGTTTTTTTTTTATCAAAAAGGAATTAATTGATCATATTCGTGTATCATCTCATGCAGCTGCATATGCAACATCAATGAGTCCACCAGTTATTGAACAAATTGTTTCTGTATTAAATTTATTAATTGATGAAAATGAAGAACATGAAGGTTTAGATATAAAAATAAATTTTAAATAGAATACTCACATTTAATATAGGTCGTAAACGAATAAATCAATTAGCATGGAATACAAGTTATTTTCGACAACGTCTTTCTAAAATGGGTTTTATTGTCTACGGTCACCCACATTCACCTGTTGTACCAGCTTTATTATATAGTCCATCGAAAATCGCGTAAGTTAGGAAAAAAATCTTTTTTTTTACGTAAAAGGAGAAAATTTATTTTTGTTTATCAGCGCATTTAATCGTGAAATGTTAAAACGTGGTGTTGCAGTTGTTACAGTTGGTTTTCCAGCAACACCATTAGTACTTGGTCGTGTACGTTTTTGTCTTTCAGCATCACATACAAAAGAAATGCTTGATGAAGTACTTAAATATGCTGAAGAAGTAGGAGATTTACTTAATATGCGTCAATCAAAATTAAATCCAAAAAAATCATTTCATGAAACAGAATTCTAATATGAAGAAATCTAATAATGATTTACAAGAAAAAAATTCTGTGAGAAAAAAAAACCAAAAGTGATTTTATGTAATTAATATGTGATACATTTGTTGATCTTTGAAATCTTTTTATTATCTTTATTTGTTGTGAAAACTTTTTTCATTGCTTTGTGATACTCTATCTATTACATCTTGTATTTATATGATTATTGTTCTTTCTTGCTTTAGCTTAAGACAATATGAACAATTTGTAATAGTATATGCTAAGATATTGCTTGCTGTTTTGCCATTGAAATATATACATACATATATATGTGCTAGAGAAATTTGAAGATTGATTATTTTCTTAACTGAATTTATAAGTATTTAGTTCATTGAATAGACTTTAGAGAATAAAATGATAGATTAATTTTGAGTACAGTGTTTTATCTAGGTTTCGTTTTTCGGGTGGGCGGCGTCAACCCGCTGGATAGAACACTGTTTGAGACTATACAGTATGAAAAAGATCTTTATTGTTGTTTGATAATACAACAAACTAATTAGTTGGATTGTTTTTGAGAATGTTTTGATGTCTAATACGTACATATTGCTCTTAAATATTAATGAATGATTTTAAATGCTTTACCCTATTACCACATAATTAAAGTGTTTTCCTTCTCGACAGCTGTTCATATATGAGTAAGAGTTGATAGAGACCACAGAAGTTAAATATTGATATGTCTCAGTTTTATTAATAAAAAAAAGAGAAGAATATCGAGTGTATAGCATTTACTTAATTAAAATATAATCTGTAGTTAATGAAATAGAGTTTTAAATTTTATTTTTCCATATTTCAACGTTGATTAACTATCTTTGTGAGCATGTGAAATAAATCTCTATACTAATCCAATCGAAATCAGTAATAAAAATGACAAAAGATTTATTTATGATAGAACTGATTAAAAAAATTCTCATAGATACGTTAAGATGTTAATATCTTAAAATATAATTTGTATAATCAAAAAAATAGTAGCATTTAAATCTGGTCTTTAATGAAATAGAATTTATTTCTTCTCTTCATTTTCTTCAATATACATTTTTCGAAGTGCTCGTAAGAGTTGTCGTTTTAATTTTTCATCTTTACATCTAGTTTGAACATCTGTTTTTAATGTATGATATCCAGCTGTATTGGCTGCATATGTTCCATCACTAATAGTATCTGTATTATATTTTGACCA